TTACACCATTTTGGTGTTGAACTTTTTTATTTATAAAAAGGTCCTTCAAATTTTAGTCAATTTTAAAATTAATGAAAAACATATACAAATTGTGATGGTGAAACCCAAAATCTAATATTTTTGATAATAATTAAACAAAATTTTAATATATTTTGTTATTTTATATGTTACAATGTATTTTTTTATATAATAAATGTTAAATTTAATTTATTTCATAATTTTTTAAACTGAAAAAAATAAGTGGGGTTGATTTGTTAATTTTAAAGAATTGAAAAAGAGAATCTATTAAAAATATTCTATTTTGGTGTAAAAATTGGTGTAAGGTATTGGAGTAAAATCTAACACCATTTTGGTGTTATCCCATTTTTGGTGTAAAATTTTAAAAATGGTGTAAACCATTAGAAATGCTTTTAGGTATGTATTTAGAAATCTCTACTGAGAATCCACTATTTATTTAAAATAAAGAAAAGAAAAAAAGAGCTAAGATCCAATTCTTCTTTAAGAATTTAGGATATCCATGAGAAACTTCAATGACATGTATCACTTTACATTGGTCCAGTTTTTTTTTTTAATTAAAATTTAGTTATATAATAAAATTATATTAAGACAATAGTATTTTATGTTTGAGAAATCCATTTGGATTTTTCACCGATGAAGGTGTCCTAATTATCTTGTTTAAGGGAGAGAATGGAAAGCTTGGTATCAAATGACATTGCATCAATAAGGCCACCTACATTTTGAAATCCGAGTTTTCCTTTTCTTTATGGGTGTTTGAACAATTGTACTGCTAACCATACTCATACACATTTCTATCTTGCACAAAAGAATTACAGTAAAGTAATCAACATTATAATTGTATAAGATACTAAAATAGGGAAAAAATTAGTTTGATACTTATTTATTGGTTAATTACTAGATTAGCTCTTATTTTATTTTTATTACTAAAAAAAATTCATGCCTATACCCTCAAATCCTTTGTTAGGAAAAACTTTATTTACAAAAATGTTATTTTCGAAAAAACAAATAATAACTAAAAATTAACGGTTTTGCCATATGACATACTTAATTTAAAAGTGACCACAGATTTATTTTTAGACAGACTTTTTTTTTTGCCACAAATTTACTTAATATTGACAGATTTATAAATATTTCACAGATTTACTTAACAATTTTTTTTTTGGCCATAGACTTACTTAAGTTTAACAGACTTAATTAGTTTTCAATAGATTTAATTTTTTTTGCCATAGATTTTCTTAAATTTGACAGACTTAATTAGTTTGTCATAGATTTATTTTCTTTTGCCCACAAATTTATTTTATTTTGACAGATTTATTAGTATTCGATAGATTTTTTCTACTTTGGCCACATATTTACTTAATTTTGAAAGACTTAACTAGTTTGTCACAGATTTATTTTATTTTGCCCACAAATTTATTTTATTTTGACAGACTTAATTATTTTGTCACAAATTTATTTTTCTTTGGCAATAAATTTATCTTATTTTGACAGATTTATTATTATTTGATAGATTTATTTCTTTTTGCCACATATTTACATGATAAATTTATATTCTTTTGACAACAAATTTATTTTCCTTTTAACCATAGACTAACTTATATAGATTAACCTAACTCTACCGATTTGGCT